GTGGTAGGATTTAATTAATTTTCATCAGAATAGAAATAATCTCTTTTAATAGATATGACATCATCCTAAGAATGAGGCTCCATTCAGGTGATTCTCAATCCTAAACAATGTAGTTCTGGAAGAGATAGTGGAGACCAACAAAGCAAATGATCATGTGTGATATGTCAAGGATGAACAGGTGAGGAGTTTTCCTGGAAACTAAGACTTTCTTCTCTAACAAAGAGGAGAAATAATCTATACATACTACAGTAAATTAGTGTGGGCACAACTGAAGGAACTAACTTTGTTATTCCAGGATATACAGTACACATGACATTTCAAAGGATTATGTATTGTGTTTATATCTGAATTCTACAGGTGAGGAGGTGATTTGTGTTGAAAGCCTCATACATCTGGCTGTAATGTGTGCACCATGGAGTCTCTGCACTTCTGGGTTGGTATCCCTTTCTGTGCCAGGTACATCACTGCTCTTTGGAAGAATTCCCAACTCCTAGTCACCATCAAAGCCAAGTGCAAATTGCTTGAGCCCAGTGTACCTCCTTTCTGGGAATGCTAGGAGCCACTGCTTTCACTACTTGTATTCTGCCCAAGATGTTAGAAAATTCTGGATTTCATCTATAGAAACTGTACTTTGATAGCTGTGCCTTACAGATATGGTTCACCAATACATTCCAGGGTAGTGAGTCAGGTGTTTGGCTGGCTATGTCATTGGACCACTATGTGGCAATGTGTGATCCTGAAACATGCAAACACTTTTACTCACCAATTTCTCACTCAGATTAGGTTTGAGGTGGCACTCTGAGTCACCTTTTTATCTGCATGTCTCATTCTCATAAATGCTATTTCAGATTCAGATGGAGCACTGTGGTCTCCCATTTATACAGGGAACATGTGACCATACTGAAGGTGGCATCAGAAGACATTTGAATCAACAAGATATATATGTAATGCTGGTGTGACTTCAATATACTGAAATGTGACATAACTTTCACCACACTCTCCTACTTTCAAATATTCATAATTGTCTTCAAGCTGCTCAAAAGGAAACTAGACTATGCCACCTATGTTTATATCTTCTCTGAGTTTCATCTCCGGGCTTTCACCTTCTTTACCCACAGGTTGGGCTTTGCATTCCATTCTAATTCATACTCTTATGTTTTATTTTTGAGCTATTTGTCCCATCTTTGCTCAGTACTATCACTTATGGGTAGATTCCCAACTTATTATAAAACATGTGTCAAAGATTTTCTGTTGGAATAACTTTTGGTTTACAGCTAGCAGCTACAATCAGCTCAAAGTGCTAGTAAAACCTATGCTCATACAAGCCTGACAGGAACACCTGCAGGACAGGGCACTCTGCTTTAGCGAGCCGTCAGTGAAACCACCTCCTCAGTGCTTGAGGTCAGCGTTGCCAAGCTACAAGGCCAGAAAACTGAGAGTTAGGTGCTTCAGGGCATGAAATCCCTGACTCATAAGGCCCCCTCCCCTAGGGACAATGATCCTTCCAGTCTGCCTTCCACTGTGTAGCAATATTTAGAGCTTCCTCATAGTGTGGCTACATTAATCATAAGATGATTGGTTTCTAGATGTTGTATAACCTGCTTGCTTATGTATGATTGGAAGATGCGTTCTATATCAATTGTAATCACTTCCACATTAAAAGAGCTTTCCTGGAGGTCGACTGCGGTTGTCACCTGCCAGCCGAGTGACCAATTGACCACACCAGTAACCAGAATGTATACAATTTTCCACTTTGATGATCCTCTTGTTTTCTCATTGATCTGATTTGAAATAATGGAAGGTCACTCTGAAAAGACCTTTTTCTTGGTGAGAGTCAGTGTTTGTTTTTTTTTAAGTTAATGGTGTACTGAAATAAGAAGTTCTAGTTCTTCTCTTGAGATAATAATACTTTGACTCATAATTTATTTTTTTGAGTTACACACTCTAGGCAAACTAAGTCCATCTAGTTCATCTTTATATCTCTAAAGCTGGTGGTATGTAATGAATATTATTTTGTTGACTAAATGAAATAGTAAAATTACATTCATTATTTAATTTCATCCTTTTATGTACATGCTAACCCTGTAAAGCATTTAAGGAATGGCAGAGATGATGAAACTTTGAGCTGAGATGAATGGAAAGCCTATTCCTCATCCGGGAACAGAAATTACAAATATCAAAAAGCAAAATAAAACCTGCAGTTCATAATTTGAATTGAAATTATTAATATATTCAAGGTTTTCAAAATGTATGAATATCTACAAAAACAAGCACAGATGTAATGTGTATACTATGGTGTGCTATGTGTGTTTATGTGAGTGTGCCGTGTGTGGCTGTACTTCTAGCCCCTTGTCCTCTGGTCTTTGAGCAGTGATCCCTCAATAACAGCACAACTGAAATATGTTTCACCATCCTTTGCCAAGCAAATACTAAGCATCATCACCAGGTGGAAAACTCAATTCTGTGAATCTGCAAGTCTATCAAATTCCATTTGTTATCTTGAGGTCATTATATGAGCTACTTTTTTTTCAGATTTAATGCTTAATATCATCAACTTCCTTTGTTTCCATATTATGCATTGCTAACTAGATGGACACTGCTTTAAGGTAGGGGAAAGATGTGATTCATCTGTATGTTTCTAATGCTGCAGAACTCTATGACAAAAGGCTCATCAAAGCCCTGGCCGACCCACTGCCCTGACTGTAAGCCTTTTGATGTCTCACACTTTAAGAATTTGCAGCAAGGTCTTAATTCTAATACTTGTAACTCTACCATGTTGTCACGTTCCATCATAAATCTTAAGAACGCCTCTGTGAGTCTAAAACTGCACCCCATTAGTCAATCAAATTTCATGAGCCACTGAGGATTTTAAGATAGGACTACTTTATCAACTGAAGTACGGAGTTTATGGACACTTCCTTCCCTTTATTTTCATATTCCACTCTTTTTACTTAGTTTAAAATATGGGTTTTAAAATTTTCTCTTGAGACTTTTCTCTAATTTACATGTTGTTTAGAAAAGTGTGGTTTAATCTCCCAGTGTTTGGGGATTTCTATCCATGTTCTGTTAATAATTTGTTACGTAATTCTATTGTGGTATGAAAACATACTTTGTATAATTTCCATTTCTCTATATCTCTATTCATTGGATATAATTTCCATTTCTCTATATCTCTATTCATGGTCTATAATGTGAATGCTCTTTGTGAATACTGCACGTGAGCTTGAGGAAAATGTTTATTTACATGTTGCTAGATGAAGTTTTCTATAAATGTCATTCAAACCAGGTGGCTTAGTGGTGCTCTTTGGGTCACCTCCATATTTACCAATATATTCTCTTCTTAATTACTGAAAATTAAGAAGTCAAGTCTGATTATAATAGTAGATTTGTATTATTTTCATACAGTTCTATCAGTTTTATTCAACTATTTTGTTGCTGTGCTATTAGGATAAATCACATTAATTATTAGTCTGATTGTACAATTAATCCCTCATCATTACATAATGACCACGCTACTTTTAATAATTTTCTTTGGTCCACAGTGATTTATCTAAAATTAATATAGTTACTCTAGCTTTACTTGATGAGTTATCATTGCATATAATTTTTCATAGCTCTATTTTTAACCTTTATGTGTTTTTACATTTAAAGTGCATTTCTTATATTCAATACATAGTTATTTACTACGTTTTTTTGTCCTCTCTGAAAATTGTTTCAATTTGCATATTTAGACAATTTACATTTAATGTGGTTATTCACATTAGTAGATTAATATCCACCATGTGTGTAATTGCTTTTTATTTATTGTATTTATTCTCTCTTTGTCATTCCTTCTTTTTCTGTCATTTCTGAAGTTCATTGACTATATTAGAGATTTCAGGGTTAGAATACCAGTTACACAACCCTGACACACTTAGTGGTTTCCCTTGAGGTTTAAATGTTCATTTACAACTAATCAAAAACCCCCCTTTCCAAGAATATAATTCTGCTTCATAGGAAGTGCAGGTTCCTTATAATGGAGTTTTCCCAGTCCCTACCTTCACCTTCATAATATTGTTCCTGTTCTCTCGTGTCTGCATACCTCATGGTCACTGAGATTTTTCTTGTCTCTTCTGCTCTGATCAACAAATTAGCTATTAAATCGATTATTATAAGAAATATCAAATATTTTACCTCTAGTTATGATTTTCTGAGGTTCTTTCTTTATATACATTCAAGTCTCTGGTATATGTATATTTTCTTCTCTGAGAAATTAGGTTTAACCTTCTTTTTTAAATATTTTTTTAGTTGTAGATGGATACAATATCTTTATTTTGTTTATTTTTATGTGGTGCTGAGGATCATGCCTCACACATGTGAGGCAAGTGCTCTATCACTGAGACAAACTATAGACCCTAGGTTTAACATTCTTTTAGAGCAAAACACTCTTGTCTTCAGTGCTGTCTGTTTGAGGTAAGCTCATATGGACTGATTCTCTGGGTTTACCTGACTCTCTAAATTTTGGGTTAGCAGTTTTCCATGTAACTTCATATCTCTGGAGAATTGGATAAACATGATTGTCATTTTTTTAAGATATATTTCTTGCCATAAGAATGAAAGGAATGTTTTCCAAACTTTTCATACATGGGAACAGAAACTGAAACTCCTGATTGTCTTTTACTCTGCACTTTCCTCTAATTATCTAGAGAGCTTGCTGCATATTGCTTCATCAATAGATATAGATATTGAGAGGTAGATACATGGAGAAACAAGGATACAAATATATTTAAACAACAATTGTGAAATATGGGAAGACAGAGAATGAAATGATAAATATGTTTCTCTGAGAGATTGCCATGAAAATAAAACTCAACGATAAAGAAAAAAATTAGACCACATCAAATATCCTTGCTACAAAGGTTAACTGAGAAATGACATTTTGAAGACAAGGTTGGAAATGTTGTTAATCCATCATAACTTCATAAACCATATTCCTCCAACAAAAGTTGTAGTGAAATGTTTTAATGTTCAGAAATTTTCTTATTTGGGAAGAAGAGACCCACCACCTGGTCCCGAATCTGCTTGGTTTTGATTCCATACACCAGGGGATTGACTGTGGGAGGTACCAGAAGGTATAGACTTGCAAAGAGTATATGGACGCTTGGAGGAACCTTCTTGCCTATGCGATGAGTTAAGAAGCTGAACAGTGCAGGTGTGTAGGAGACAAGGATAGTGCAAACATGGGCAGCACAGGTGCCCAGGGCTTTGGAGCGGGCATTCTGGGAAGACAGCCGGAAGACTGCTTGGAGAATTTTGATATAGGATGTGGCTATGAGCCCCAGGTCCAATATCATCACTGAAAGGGCCACAGAAATGCCATATGCTCTGTTAATAAGGGTGTTGGCATTGGCCAACTTCACCACGGCCATGTGCTCACAGTAGACATGATTGATGATATAATTTGCATAGTATGGCAGCCTCTTAATAAGAAGAGGACAGGGCAGAACCATGAGTATAGCTCGGCTGACACCAACTAGGCCCATTTTAATGATTTTAGATGTTGTTAGGATGGTTGTGTAATGCAATGGGATGCAGATAGCCACATAGCGATCAAAAGCCATGGCAAGTAGGAGAGCTGATTCAATAATGCAGAGTGTGTGGATAAAATACATTTGTGTTAGGCATATGTTAAAGCCAATCCTGTGATCATTAAACCAAAAGGTGCCAAGCATCTTGGGGGCTGTGGAAGAGGAAAGAGCCATGTCATTCACTGCCAGCATGCAAAGGAAGAAATACATAGGCTGGTGGAGGCTTGGCTCTAGCTTGACAGTAGCAATGATGATGCTGTTCCCCAGCAGGGTCAGGGCAAACAGGAGGAAGACAGGGATGCCGATCCAGCAATGAAAATCTTGCAAGCCAGGAATACCAACGAGGAAGAAAGATGAAATTGGGTGATGTGTACCATTATCTTCCATGTTAACACTTGAGAGGCTGCATGTTCAGTATCAAGTATGAAGGCAAAACCCCTGTGAGCAGGTATCACGACGACAGAACTCCTCCATGGCTCTGCAAAGGTAGATTCAATAAGCACTTGTGAATAGCCTATCTTAAGGGCTTGCTCTTTTTCAAAACTTCCATAAATCCTTAGGGAAATATCTTCTTTTGTGATCCCTAATATCTTGATTTGCAAATAAGAAAATGAAATTAAACTGTCTCTATTGTTTTCCTTTTAAACTTTATTCTACTTTTTAAATTTTTGTTATCTAGGAAGTAAACAGATAATGATAAAATGGTTCTGTCTTTGTATCTGTAAATTTTCAGGATGATGTGATACAGATTGTCTTAAGAAAAGCAAAGGCCTGCTGATTGTGTTAATCCCAATTACTAGAGTGGCCTAGGCAGGGGGAATTCCAAGTTCAAGGGCAGCCTGGGAGACTGAGGAAGACCCTGTCAAACTAGAATGTAAAAAAGCCCATTCATAATCATTTGCGCAGCATGTGACAAATCCTGGATTCAATACTCCATACTGCACAAAAAGAAAAGAAGGAAGGGAGGGACGGAGGGAGGGAAAGGAAACAAAAGGGAAAAACATGCACAAATAACAGACAAGCAAGGCTACTGATCTCAGGGAACTTTCAATCAAGTATGCAACTACATATAGGCGTACACACATACACACGAACTGTACATTCAAGGATGTGCATATTAATAATTAGCATGCTATTCAAAAGGCAGTTGGCAGTTAGCATTTTAACAATATACTGTCTACAGATAACTTAATAAAATAATCAGTAGTGTAGAATAAAGAATCTCAGAAACTAAATATGACCAAAGTTCTTTAGGACACTGAAAAGAATAAACTCTTACTATACTTTGGATCACTATATTCTTAATTCAGAAAAAATCTTGACGATAGTCCAAATATTGACAAGATATTAGAAACTTACTTTAATATTAGGAGTATCTCCTGAAATAACAAGTAGAAAAATAAAAATTTTCATTGGAATTTTAACATATATTAGTTACATATTTTTTTAGACCTTCTTTTTTTAAAATTTTTTTCACCGTGATTTTATCCTATACTACTTGGCCTTTCTATGCAATTAAAAACAGAATTTACAGATTTCATTTAATAATTCATTCAATTTCACTAAGAACATAGGCCAGAAAAGAAGGATTAACTGGCTTTTCTGATCCAGCCAAGAAAAGTTAAATTTATTCACTATCATATAAACGTACCATTCACAATTTATTTTAAAGGATTTTCATGAAAATAAATTTCATATGTACATGTCATAAAATAAAATGTTGCAAATAAGTTATCTGCTTTTCCAAAGTAACTGTGAATATTTTATTTTTTATTCTTTCAGATAATTAAAATATTGCCCTAAATAAACACATTAGCAGTTAATGGGATAATGTGAGACTTTTCAATGTCCTGCCCACCCATGTGTCCTCATCCTAGGTCTGGCTTTGTTAATACTCCTACTCAGTGGCAGTAAAGACCCAAGCACCAAATCCACTCCTCTGAGTCTGACCCACCATGACTATTTTCCTGTGACCTTTATTATGAGCTTGTACTTTGATTCTAGTAATTGTCCTCTAATCTTCTTCCTCAGATGCACATTCCTCCTATTATCTTAATTCTGAAATCTTAACACCTGTTTTCATAATATACCTATTTTTATTTCTAGTTGTTCCTAATATCTAAATTCCATTCCTTGAATTCCACAAATGTGAATGTTCAATAAACATTAAGGGATATTCTAATTAACAGTGCTTCTTTGGATTTCCAAATATCACATGAAAAAAAAAAAACTTTTTTGGTGATGAGATGTGCATTGTCTTATTAAACCTATGCTCTTGTGGATCTATGTAAATGAGCATATGTGGTGTTTTCTTGTAAGAAGGTAAGAATCAGAAGTTGAGTTACATTAATAGTTTAAGAGTCTTAAGAATTTAAACTTATCCAGAATACAAAAACTGAGTTATGGAGCATTATATATTAGAGATGGGTTTTATAATTCCAGAGAGAGATACAAACTTGGAGTTAGAAACTAGGAGTGTGAAATGCTTAAAGCCTGAAAGGTTCTGAGGTTCAATACAAAGAATACATTTTAAGGTTTGTTCATATTCCATGATTTTTTCCTCTTTTAGGAGAAGCAAAATTTTAAGAAGTTGTTGGAAGAGAATTATATACACAAGAAGAAAAGCAAAACATCTAGAAATATAAACATACCTCTTTAGCTAAGAAAATTGCATAAGATAAAAATCAAGGTTAATTATTTACATATATTTACATATTAACAAATTATGTCTTTTAGTTGTAAATTGATTGTGATAAGATAATAAAAAAATATGTTGTCACTTTGACTGGACAAGAGGACAGCTTCTCTTGAAGCTCCAGAACTTATAAAACAGAGGCAACTGCAGAGAACAATTCCTCCAGAAACCATTTCCTATATAAATCCCCAACCTTCTGGAAAGGTTTTTTTTTTATTTTTCCTGGGCCTATTTTGAATGAAATCAATGAGGTCCTTCATTTTGGATTTAGTAGATTAGCAGCAAAGTGAAAAGACCAGAGAATACCCTCCTGCTCTGCCATTGTGTCTGTTTCTGAAACAGGTAAATGTCAATCTTCCCGCCACATGTTCTGTTGATAACTTACCTGCATATGGATCTGTTTGCACAGACCCAGATGGAATCTGCCACTTCAGAGAGAAGAGTGCTAGTGGCACATGTGACACTTTCTAAATTTTCTGATATAAATTATATGTGGTTTTGCATGTGTGTGTGTGTGTGTGTTTATTTACTGTCTTCTCTCATTTCAAGTTTTTCTAAACAATATTCACTCCTTTTTTTTCAAATCTCCCCTACTCTGAATTTTATTTCCTGGCGACAGCAGTCACACAGTCATTTAGACCAGAAATCTCAGGGTTATCTTTTATCCTTCTCTCTTAGTAACTTTAAGATTGCAAACAAGTCATTTTGTCTTGTTGAATTCAATTATCTCATATTCATCAAATATAGTATACCTCACCTATGTCCATCTTCTTTAGTTAATTTTTTCATTAACTGACATACACTCCATGATTTGGCTTTCTAATTACTTTTCCTTGTTTTTTTTTTTGTTGTTGTTGTTGTTTTGTATTGTTTTGTTTTTAAATTCCATAAAAATCCATTTTCTCACATCATCAGAGTCATGTTTCCAACATTACATAGTAGTTTACTTAAAACCTTACCATTAAGGACCTGGGGCTGGGGCTGAGCAGTAGAGCACTTGCCTGGCAAGTGTGAGGCACTGGGTTCGATTCTCAGCATCACATATAAATAAATAAAATAAAGATCTATCAACTACTAAAAAAATGTAAAAACAACAACAACAACAAAACAACCTTATCATTAAAGCAATCTTCTAATAGCTCTTAGATCACTTTCTATGACTTTAAATCTACTCTACACTTGGACTTAATTGCAGTTTCTCTTGTCTGGTGGGTGAATTTCTACTTATCTTTTTAATGTGTACCAAACACAACTATAATAACTTTTCTCTTTATTTTAAAAAGTTACACAATCTTTTCTTTCCAATATTCTTTTAACTTGGAAATAGTTTAATGATTACAAATAGTAGTCTCTTGTTAACTAGTAATTTACAAACTCTACATAATGAAGAGTTTATATCTTAATGAATTTCATGTTTCTGGACTTTACATGAAATACACAGTTTAAATCTCAACGGACTTTATATTTCTGTTGTGTCAGCTCACATCTTGGCATAATAAAAGCAATTAATCTGTGATTTTGGTATTAAATGAAACATTCTTTACATGTTGTAATATCACAATAGTTTATAGGTGTCTTTGGCTTATAAGAGCAGTTTTTATTTTGTTTACAAATTAGCTTTTCTCAAAAAGTTCATTCTTGTTCACTTGGAACAATATAATCAAGTTTTTAAATTGATTATATGCACTTAATTGCTAGTAACTTGAGTTTTTGTTTGTTTATTTTGGAATAGCAGAGGGTGAAGATGTAAGGTGACTCTGATTTACCTACATGTGGGTTCGTTACTAGGTACCAAGGGAATTATTTTGAAATGTTGAGCATAGTATTCCACAACAACATGTTTCATGGTAGATACAAGTCAAGAACCTATCTCATATTTTCTTCCATTTATACATGAATGTGCTTACATATACACATGCACACATATACCTACACACACACACACACACACACACACCATTCTGAATTTTGTATCAATTCTTTCAAGAGGCTGTTATTTCAAATTTTGCTTTCTCCCAAGGAATAAGTCAAGTGAATTAAAATAAAAAGGACAACAAATTATATGTGCCAAATCTATTTTCAGTCTCTTTAACTGCTCTTAGGGCTTGAGCAAAAAGTTAATTATATTGTTGTAAATGATTGTAGCAATTTTTTCCACCAATAAAAATACTCATGTCAACAATTTCAACTTCTTTGATAAAATTTGAGTTTATTTCCTTATCTTAAAATTAAAAGAAGACAAAAAGAAAACCAACAACTAATTTTTTTTAAATAGATCCTATGTCCAAATGATGTGATCAGGAGAGTGCTCATGAACCTCATTCACTGAATTGTTACTTTTCACTTCGTCAATCTACTTAATATATTTTATATTATCTTTGATATCTGGAAATAACTATATCCCAGACCCACATGCATTGAAGAGTTTCCTACATGGCTTATATTTTACTGTTCCACTCTTAGATTAATAAATTACTATAAGGTATGTATGGGTGAACCTTTTCTGAACCCACTTCACTTCTCTCAATTGGTAATGTAATTTCCTTATGAATCAAAACAGACACATTTATCATCATCAATAACTGTACCTCCTCTGAAAACATCAGCTCCAACCAACTGTATCATGGGCAGTCTCCCAACCTCTAATTCTCCCAGCACAAGTACCTTCTCTCATATAAACACAGACCTTTTG